CAGGGCCAAGGAAGGACAGTGTGAGAATGAGACACCCTCCCAAGAAGACAAGGCCAGGGAAGGGTCCCTGACGATCTGGAATGGGGCAGGGCACAGCTAAGGGAACTGGCGCCTGGGGTCTAAGAGACAGGAACGCCTCCCAGGGGAGAAAGGCCCCCAGTCTGCAGGCAGGAGTGTGCCAAGGATAAGCACCTCCAGCTCTGCCCCTGGCTTTCACCCAGCGCTGTGGGCATGGAGATGCACAGAACGTCGGTGCCAGTTGTTTACTTGTTAAGGATTCGCACTGACTTCTGTACTTGATGAGTCATTCAGGCCACTCTCAAGGATGCTGGTGTGCACAAGCCCCTCCTTAGATCTGGTTGGCTAGCTCAGGTCCTGGGAGTGACGGGGCACGTCCTCCAGAGCAGGCATGTCATAACTGCGCTTGCTTTTCCCGTCAAAATAAGGTACGATCCAAGTTATCAGGAATAGGCTTGGTCTGGGAGTGAGGCTGAGCTTCTGGCAAGACACAGCTACAACCATCAAGCCGTTTTGCCCCTTCCTGTGGCTGGCTGAGCATCCAGAGGTCAGAACTGCAATGAATTTCAGTACTTGGATGGGGATTTTAAACCACAGCTATTTAAAAGTGTTGCTTTGGAAATTTTTTTAAGGTCTAAACTTGATTTATATAAGCATTTATTTCTTAATGATAATACTTGAATTATAACCTAATTGGTAGAATTAATATTCTTTAAGGGCTAAGATTACTTGAGAAAAATTGCTAATACAGACTTTTAAAAACATTCCTGGGTTTAAGTAATTTATTACTCTTAAATTCTTACCAGCCAAGTACCCCATGGCTATGTAAAGATTTGGCTGGGGCTATGATCCAGCAGTACTTTGGTCCCCATAATAAGATTACTTGCTTATTTCCTTTATTTTCCTGGGTAGAATGAGAGTCTTAAAACGGGGCAGAAACATGATCCGATGTGTACTTTGACAAGGTCACTCTGGCTTCCCCGGGGGTGGGGGAGAAGAAATGCAGAAATCAACAGATCCAATAATCATGGTTTATGTAAGAAGGTGGCTTGCAGTACCATTGACGACAGCAGGGAGGGACAGCAAGGCGCAGGCTGGGCTGTATTTTGAAGGTGGACCACACGGGCCTGCTGGTGGGCGGAGGGGGTGGGAGAGCTGGTGAGAGAGAGGTGTTAAGGATGACCCGATTTCTGGCTGGAGTAATTGGGAAGATGGCAAGATCCTATTCAAAGATGGGAGGACCAATGGAAAAACAGCTTTGGAGAAAGAAGTCTTCTCTCCTTCGCGTGTATGCCCGTCACTTGGTCATAGAAATAACTTAGATCTCCACTTAGTGCTTCTATTAAAAGGCAGGTGTATATCAGGAAGCCACTGTCCAACCTATGCTAGGCCCAGACTGTTTTTACATGGAGAGAGTTTAGGGGGCAGGCAGCAAAATGGTTGTAGTTTGGACCTGGGGGCTCATCTTGATGCTGCATTTGAAAAATATACACACTTTCAGTCAGATTGTGTGTTTGCTCAGAGTGATTTGGTGGGCTAAAGATCATGAGAGGAAGGGCTAAAGACCCCCAAAGTCACCCCTGGGTACTGTCACTGACCAAGAAACGAGGGCAGAGAGAGAGTACTACTGAACTTAAACACTTACTTTAAAAAGAGAATTTAATATACATTTTCCATGTTATTTCAAGACTGGGTTATCTTTCCAACAGTGTAGTTACTCTTGGAAGAAAATAATTAAAGATGTAAATGTGTTAGCCAAGAGCCAAACCACTCAGAACAGGTCAAGGTTGTGAACTTACTTAATTTGCCCTTCCCCCCGAGCAGTCATTTCTTGAATCACTGGCTGATTATTCTGTAAAACAGGATAGGCCGTCATCCCCTGACTATCGACGTGGGAGAGCTGGTGAGAGAGAGGTGTTAAGGATGACTCGATTTCTGGCTGGAGTAATTGGGAAGATGGCAAGATCCTATTCAAAGATGGGAGGACCAATGGAAAAACAGCTTTGGAGAAAGAAGTCTTCTCTCCTTCGCGTGTATGCCCGTCACTTGGTCATAGAAATAACTTAGATCTCCACTTAGTGCTTCTATTAAAAGGCAGGTGTATATCAGGAAGCCACTGTCCAACCTATGCTAGGCCCAGACTGTTTTTACATGGAGAGAGTTTAGGGGGCAGGCAGCAAAATGGTTGTAGTTTGGACCTGGGGGCTCATCTTGATGCTGCATTTGAAAAATATACACATTTTCACTCAGACTGTGTGTTTGCTCAGAGTGATTTGGTGGGCTAAAGAAAGATCATGAGAGGAAGGGCTAAAGACCCCCAAAGTCACCCCTGGATACTGTCACTGACCAAGAAACTAGGGCAGAGAGAGAGTACTAATGAACTTAAACACTTTCTTTAAAAAGAGAATTTAATATACATTTTCCATGTTATTTCAAGACTGGGTTATCTTTCCAACAGTGTAGTTACTCTTGGAAGAAAATAATTAAAGATGTAAATGTGTTAGCCAAGAGCCAAACCACTCAGAACAGGTCAAGGTTGTGAACTTACTTAATTTGCCCTTCCCCCCGAGCAGTCATTTCTTGAATCACTGGCTGATTATTCTGTAAAACAGGATAGGCCGTCATCCCCTGCCTATCGCCAGAGTATGATCCAGCGGTGGAGTGTGAAGAGTTTATATTTATTGGATTTTAATGACTCAATTAATAAAGGTCATTCCTAAAAGTAATAGAAAATTAAGTGTGTGGAAACAGAATGGCTAAGGCTGACTTGGGGGTTACTTCTAGCAGTTCCCTGCTGCTGTCCTTAGATACGTGTTCAATCCTTAAAAGCAATTAGAAGGATCCTTCCTTTTAATCAGTTTAGCAATGCCACGTTCAACTACACTACAAAAAAGCTATTTACAACCCCTCAATAACAAAAGGTAGCACGTAGTAAACATCAGGATTTAAAATATGTTAGATATCATCGGTGTAACAATGCATTCTCAATACAATATCAATAACAGTATAATTGTAGTTCTATGTCATTTTAATACTTGGTGACATAATTCATAGTGCTCTCCAATATCTGAGACAGCGAAACAACTTGAGTTTCAGGTAAAATCTGGTTAGATATGAATTTTGAAATTAAAAGCAACCTTAAAAATCATTTAATCTCATCCTTTTAAATAGTTAATGATAGCGAATGATTTAGTAAATATTTATTCAAACTGGTGATTATTAGACTGTGAGAGGATTTCCTAAGGTAAACGGTAATTATTTGAATTGTTTAAAATTAAACTGACACAAATATTTAAGAATATGTAGAAAGGATAAATTTATAGTTGTTCCCAGACACAGATTATTTAACAAATATTTTCCACCTCAAAATCCAGTGAGATGAGATGTAAATGCATAATTCATATTGTAGTAAATCTCGTACACAGTTTTACGAAGCCTTCCCGATCTGCCTCCTGTGGGCTCGTCCAGCCTCTTCTCTTTCTTTTCCAACTCTCCTCTCCCCCAGCTTCTCGGCTACAGCTTTACTAACCTTCTACTCTTAGTCTCCAAGCCACCCTGTAGTCTCGCGTTTCAGGATCTGCCTGGAATCCCTTTCCCTGGTCCTTTGCTGGGTCACTCTGCAGCCCTGCCACTACTTCCTGCCGGAAGCCTTCTGGCCGCCCAGCCCCGGGGCTCAGATCCTACAGAGGCTTCAGGAGTTGTTGTTGGGCAAGCCCCTGCTCAGTTTCCAGGGGTGGCCAAACTAACACTGTCCATTCATTGTTCAATCCCCAAGCCCTAGAACAGTGTCTGGAATGTACCAGATCCTATGAATGAGTGACTGCATAAAGACTGTGGGCACTGGAGAATCTGAGATTTATAGTTTACACTTCTAAACGATAACATAAACCTGAGGAAACAAAGTTGCTGTTTTTAAAAAACACATTTCACTCTCATTCGTTTCTTCTCTAAATAGAGAACATACAAGATATGAGACAAAAATTTAGTATTGTGGTAAATTAATTCTCTTTCAGTAGGTCACATAAAATGCAGAATCCAGTGTATTACATGCAAATGACAGGATACTGAATCAGATCAACTCAAGCAACTATACCTCAAAACTTGTAAGCGTTTTCCTAAAGGAATAATGAGTTAAAAGAAAGTCTTTAAAATCTTCTACATTTTAAAATCCAAAAACTAATAGCCTTGAAAAAAAAATGCCAGCATTTCTCCTAAAGTATCGATTTGGTCTAAGTACTTCCCTGTCTGAAACTGCAAGGAAGGACTTGGTTTTGAGGGTCACACTGCATCCTTCCATAAAGGTGGGAGATATTTTAGGTCTCCTTAAAACACTGTTCTTATTTTAGGTACAAAGAGAGCAATAAAACATTAAGTTTGGAAAGAAGGCCTGAGAACTATGTCACTACAGAAGTTTGAAATAAAGTTAGAGCTCGTGTTAGATGTGATAACTCCAGAATACACACCTTTTGGCAAACAATGTGGGAAACAGAAAAAGAAATCGTAAAAACTATATGTTTTTTGAGTGTCCTACCTCATAAGAACCTCCAGCAATGAATCAAATATGTTTGGACAGATCTTGATTTTTCTTCTCCTTTAAGTCAAAGACTACTGGGGGAGGGGACCGGGTCTCTAATAAATAGAAGACTGACACCTTAGAAGCAGGATGACTACTGACAACTAATGCACCAAACTATCTAACTAAAACGTGTCAGCAACGACAGTAATAGTAATTAGTGGCTTTGCTTGGGGGTAATTTCAGGAAGGAACGCGCCGGGGGCGCTGCACCCTCCTGTCCACGCCACCGGGCTCTGCCGTCCCTCCGGCGCCCGGCGGACACTCCCCGCAGAATAGACAGCGGGAAAAGCGCGAGGGGTAGAACCGTGTTTTCTGGTCAAAAGCGCTAAAGGGCTGCGGGGCGGCGCGGGCGCCCACACCCCTCCCCGGGGCGCCCCCCGCCCGATCCCGCGACCCGACCGCCTTACTCTGGGGCTCCATGGTCAGCCGCTGCCGCGACCCAAGGCCGCCGCCGCCCCGCCTAACGCCTCTGCTCCGCGGCAGGCGTCGCTCGCGTTGCCCTGACAACCGGGAGGCGTGGGGCGGGGCCTGGAGGACGGCGGCCGGGAGCGACCAAAAGCCGCGAGG